AAAAACCAAAAAAAATAAGACTAGTCATATGAGGATATATAATATACAACTATAACCATTGGTTACTGTGAACTTTTCTTCGTGTCCTAATCATTTGTCAACTACGCAATTGATTAACACTCTTGAAATTTCTTCAATATTATTAAAATGAAATTCTTACAAGAACAATTTCTTTCTTTAGTATTTTATAAATTAAAAGGAAAAAAAATATATAAAAATGCATAAATAGGAATAATGAAAGCATAAATTAAACGAGAAACATTGAGCTGTGACATTTTTGTGACATTTTTCCGTTCAGTTTGTGCTCTTAAGATTGTTACTGATAATTTACAAATTTATGCAATATTTTAATCTAAAATCTTGATATAAATAGAAGAAATATGCATGTAAAACAATTCTTAAATCTTCCTTTTTCTTTTTTTTTTCGTCTTATCTTGATGAGATGAACAAAAAAGAAAAAAAAAAATTTGCATAATGAAATAATGGAAAGTTCAAGGTGAAGATGGTTATGGTGACATTCTTCTGTCCCATATAATTTATTAGGGTTAATGATGACCTTGGAAAATTGCTTTCTTTTTTTTTAAGATTTTTTCAATGAGGTCAAGGTAATCACAATTACCAATCAAAATTTTAAACTATTTCTACTACAAAAGGTAGATGATGAGCATCGGGTCTTGTGGTGTAGTGGCTATCACGTCTGCTTCACACGCAGAAGGTCGCCGGTTCGAACCCGGCCAAGACCTGTTAGTTGAAACAACCTTTTGCTTTTGGCTCTAAATTTCTTGCAGTATAGCAAGATTAATTGATTAATTAATGAACAAATCCATCTAAATATTTGTAATATAATTTGAGTGATAAAATAAGCTTAAAACGATTTTACTGTGAAAACTGAGCAGTAATGATAGCATACAAATTGTCGTTTAATTTTCCGGAAATCCGGATTTAATCATTAATGGAAAAAATACAGTCAATTGAAGTGTGACACGAAATGTCATCTAACAATCATGTTTCAATTGTTTAGCTGGAAGAATTGAGTTTGAAAGAAGTTGAATTTACATCTAATAAATGCATAAATTATGTGTCACATAAGGGATACTACAAGTTATCACTGGACATTGTATCTGGTCAGTGATATATATATTACTGATGGATGATAAATTGAAACATTTTTACTTCATAAATTACAATATTATTATGCATAATTCTTCATCATTTTAATTTTTCTATCTATTACGGAGATAAAATCAGGAAAATCGATTTGAAATGTTAACAGGATCAGGAATGAAATACTTACCGTAACATACATCATCGAAGATTATCATTATGTTTAAAAGTATTTAAGAAATTATTTTAAATCTATTGAACAACTATCTATTACTCCTGTAATTATATATTTATATTCCGATAGATAAATGTACCGCTCAAGGACAGCATGAAGTGATCATTCACTAATGTGATACTTTCGCTATAGTACCCGCAAAGAAACCCGTTCAACAATCTGCACAAAAGTATTCCGATTTTAATTCCATTGATACCGTATGAAGGAAAAGAAAGTACCGCATCAAGCGAAATTTAATCAAAGA